TTTTGATTTGTAGAGTTTTTTATTGTATACATATGCATTATGAAACCATCATCATAATTTTCAAAATACCATAAGGCTGTAAACGAAATATACCATGAAGCAATAAACTAAATTATGTAAATATTTTGTATGTTAAATAACTTACCAAAAGAAGGCACTAATACGAAACTACCAGTTTTCCAAGCTATCATAATTTATCTTACAAACTATATATTCAAACGGAATCCAATATTTGGCACTAAGCAATGTCGTTTTTAATTAAATTTTTGTTTTATGGCGCTAAAACGTACGCAAGTCCATAATTTTTAAAAACACAGACGACTATATTGTAAAAATCCTATGCGCTTCCCACCCTTTGAACACACACATAGTGTAACTCCAATGGATTTGATCGTTTTCTTAATACGCATAAGCAGATTAATGGTTTCGTGTAATTTTTAAATGTTATGATCACAATAACGTATTTTCGTGCAACCAAGTGTTGGCTTCACACACGAGTAAAAATATTTAGTTACATCTATATACAAAATATTATTTTATCTTCATTTACGCAAATCGTTAATGCGTATGTGTAAATCGATAAAAAATCAATGTCCGTGTTTTATGAATAATATACTACATTGCAAATATCGATAAATTGTAATTATATATACACATATATATATATATATTTATATTTATAAAAAAAAAGGTTTTATTATAGTTTTAATTTTTTTTTTTTTTACTATTATCATTTAATTCAATATCGTGTGAGATCGAGTGGAGAATTTGAAAATAGTGTTATATTCGTGGGAAACGTTCGTTTTACATTGAAAACTGAAATTAAATTAAACCATTGCTGCCAAACTGACTAGGATAATATTATCTACACATACAAATAATGTGTCCGGCTGGCAGTAATGTATCGGCCGCGACTATGTCAATACCGACCGACCGGATCCAATTTGTTTTTATAGCCGTTTTTACGATATTAAAACATTTCGCACTAATAATTAGTTCGCCAAGAGGCATTTGAAATAAAAATAAATCCGAAGCAACTCCTTTACGAATCCAACGCACGTTGTTCGCGTTCCTTTGCGTTACATTAATTGAACACAACGTAGGTACAACACTGTTGTATTCCAAAAGCGTTCGGCTAATAATTATTAAGCATTATGCGATTAGTCATATAAATTTAACAGTTTGATTGAAAAAAAAAAATGTTTTTTTTTTTTCGATAATATATCTTATATTTTCTTGGGACGCACCGATTGCCTAGGAACGTTTCTCATTTCTACGAAGAAAAAAGTAATAATAATAATAATAATAATCGTTTTATTGCCGAACATTTTAAACGTATCAATATAACATTGTAAGGCGCGAGATCGACGTTAAGGGCGATACCGGTACCGCATAATATGTACAATAATATTATTATAATTGGCTAATGAATCATGACTTGCCACTCAGGTAAGAGCTCTGGATACGTCGGGATTTGATATTTTAATGGCCGGTCGTACGGCGTATGCGGCAATAAATCACCGCGCGTTTCTTAGTCGAAACGAACAAGAAAATAGCGCATCTATAGGTTATAAGTTTTTTAGTCGTATTTTATGATTATTATTACATTTTTTTTTTTCTCTCTTCCAAACGCATTTTCCTCCACCGCAATAATTATTATCCTTAAGTACCACACACAAACGATACTAAATCAACCGTGTACCTACACACACACATTACATATTTATGTATATATGCGAGTATATATAAAGCGGGATTTTCATTTGTTCGTCCGCAACGGGTCCTGCGGTCGTTTTTTTTTCGTTGCACGAAACTGCCCAAAAGTACGTCGTATACCTCGTACGTGTACGATACGGGGGAATTCGATGATCAGACGGGGTAGCCGCATTTAGAGTCGTAACCCAATACCAGTGCCGTACATCCGATAACAGCGCCGCGACGACAACGGTGCCGTAACTACCGTCCATGGTGTGAATTTTATTTTGGCACTTGTTTTATGCAAAAAAAAAAAAAACCAATTTTAATTCAACTCAAATGCAACCCCTAGCATTGATGCGCCCTTGGCAACCGTCCTTTTCACCGACCACTAGTCACGATCCGGCGCATCAGCCTCGACACCGTCCCAAGGGTAGGGCGAATGGAGCACTCGTCCAGGGCCTCGCGTATCGTGTAAATAAAAATTCTATCCGAACGTTTTGGCTACGACTTGGAATTTAAATAGGTTTCAAGTAATGTCAACGTTTGCAAAGTAAAAAAAAAAAAAAAAAACGTTTTTACGACAAACTGACCGTTAGAATAACACAGAGTACACTATTATTCCGAATAGGTATTGATATTATTAAAACGAACATTAATGTTCGCATTAAGATCCTGTCCAGTGTCCATCCGTAATTCGTTGACCATCATGCTAATATTGACCGAGTCCAAGGGTCTCGGATTCTGATGATTCCCGGCAATCTGGGAATGACACTGTGACGGGACAACGATATTTCGAGTCGATTGCGAGCCGCAGGACTTATTCTAAGGATTTCTTTCAACTACGCATTTTTTTTTAAATAAGCCTATCGAAGTAGAAGTATGATCTTTAAATATAATATGAAATTCTAGTTACAAATAATAACATTTTCAATATTTAGAATGGAATTTCAAAATTTAATCTATTAATAAGAAATAAAATAATAAACATATACGATAAATAAAAATACATAAGTACATATATTTTATATGTAAAACTGTACGATTTTAGTTCGAACGCCGAATACAATACACACCTTTTAGTTTCTCAATTCTTAACATCGAACACGGAACGAAAATCAAACTACACAGTTTTCATTCCATTTCCATGTACTGTGTTTTTAAAGTATAGCTACACACGATTTTAAAAATCAGTGTACAGTGGTTGTCGCAGTTCTGTAATCCGAACACTGTACACCGATCGAAAACCGGTAGTATGTATGATTTATAAAATAATTTTCTTATCGAAAAAACACATATTAACCTATGGGAACACAACTATTAATATTCGTTTTATTAATGCGACAAAATACATTTTTTAAAAATCAATGATTCCAAAAACCGATTATGAAGAGTGCGTATCCAGCTTATCCGAGTACGCGAAACAAGTCCAACTGCGCTTCAGAATTAGCCCTGTCGGACGGCGGTAACTTCGAGACATTCGTTCGTTGTTTGGTTCTTCTTTTTCTTCGCGCGAGGAACGGTCCAAGCCGTGCACACGATTACTGGACTCGCGTGTTACCGCAGTGGCACCGGTCGGCTCCGTAATAATACGTTTCCGTTACGTCCACACGATGGCGAGTCCATTACGGACATCGGTTTATGTAGATTTCTTTTACCTTTTGCCCTGTTGCGCGTGCTGTTGAAAACCGAAAACGTGACGATTCATATCACGAACTCGCGAAAATCGAACCGCAGGCAGACGATGCGATTGATGGTCGTACAGTTTTCGTTCCGACCGTTCCGGCACCGGAAAACACGTTGTAACGTGGTCTACCGATTGCAACGGTTCATGCCGTACTTACGCGTTACGTCCGTGTTTCGGCCCGTACGTATTATTTGTACGCGTTATGTTCCGAAAAAATGTTTTAAATCTTTGTAGAAAACGAACGGTTTTGTTTACCCCGTCTTAGTGAATTCGTTACAATTCTTTCATGCATTAGTCTGACCGCAAAATACGAGACAGCATTATGTAATAACTCGGTTGACGAATGAAGAAATAAACCCCCGACTAACAAAATGCGGGATCCATTTTATTTTCTCAAAATTAGACGTTTTTACGTATAATTCGTGAGATAAATAATAATGAAAACGACAGTGTGATGAATATCGAATACTCAACACAAAATTCAAGTACGTTACTGAATTGTTTTATATACCAATGTCGTAAGAACGATAAATTATCGATTATAAATACAAAGTGATGTTTGAAATTAAGTGGTTTGATTTTTTTCCATTGCGTAATTTACGATATTTTAAGTAAACTTTTTTTTATTCTCTACGTCTAAGGTTGATAAAAATATAAGATTTACATATGATGCCCATAATCATAGGTGTAAACTGGTGGGGGGGGCAGGGGGAAAGTTCCCCCTTTGATATTTAACATATCTTGTTTAAGTACAAAACAGTTGGTTATAACTATTACTACACAATTTTTTTTTTAAATCTTAACTTTCAATTTGCACTTATCTAACATAATGTTAGAAAATGAATAACTTTATATAATTAATATGTAGGTAGTAAAGCGGCATTTAGCATTCTCCTTAGTGGGCCGCTGTAATTTTTGTTAAATAAGATTACTTAGATTTTTTTGTTTTTAATTTAATGCGTCTATCTTCTACTCTTAAAATAAAATAAAAAATATCGCCTTGTAACATGACGTTCAAGCCCGGATTATGATAATTTGGGGCCCGGGGCCAAACAATTTTAGGGACCCATAACCATAATCAAAATATTGATGACTCACACATAAATATATTTCAGAGACAAAAAAAAAATTATATTCTAATTTATAAATTTATTTCTTGCTTTTTTTAATACAAAAAATAAAAATGTTATTTAAAAAAATAATTTTTTTCTTTTTTTCTTTTTAAACCCTTTAATTATAACATCGGTATTAATTACCTCTAAAACATTACTCTTTAAACACAAAATCATAAAACCATATACTATTTTATACTTGTTTTTTATATGACTAATTTTACAATTTTATTTATATTCCGACTCAAATTTACCGGCTCATTCAAAGATCAGTTTAAATAAATCGTGATATTGCTGTCGGATTCCAAGTAAGCATTATAATTTATTATGAAACATATCAGTTTTATCAATATGTGCACTTTGGTTCAGACGGTTAAAATTATGTTTATCGGGAATACAATTTTGATTTTACATCTTATAAAATATTATTATACCTTTTATTATTGAATTGATTGTGGGTGTAATTTTTAGTATTATTTATTTATAAATATTAACTTTATTTTATACTACATATATTTTCTATGCTTATTCTTTTTGGTAGGAGTATTATTCCACCTTTGATTGTTTAACGCATTAAACTGTTTTGGACCACCAACTTTTGGTCTATTGCTGTTCGTTGTTGGTCGATATGCAAGCCTAGCTTCATTAATTATATTCCTACAGTAATTTTCATATACTTCTTTGTCTTTTGTTTGATCCGTATCACCGCATAACCATAATTCCGAACTATAAATAACTGAACGTAATATTGACAGCATTCGTGATATGAACTTAAAGTTTTCGGTAGGTTTTATGGGTCCACTCTGGAATGCAAAAGTCCTATAACTTCGGATGCTTTTTTTAATGTTGATAAAGCCTTTTTCCAGTGAAGTATAATATGCCGTTTGACTAGTAAACAAGCAATTGATTCTTTCTTTCTTTATCAAATATGAGGTTACATCACCGGGATACAACAGGTTACTTCCGATATCTCTCAATAAACTATGGATAGACAAAATAAATATTATGAATTTTTACAAGAATTTCTGTAAATAACCTTCCAAATTTTAAAATCCTTTTAATGATTTTGAATCAATTAACATCATATTAATACATCAAGCGAACTATACACGATTTAAGTACAAATTTAACCAATGGTATTATTATTACTGTTATTATTAAAATAAATGTTCATAAGTTTCAGTACAACAGTGCAAATAAAATTTAAATATAATTACTTTTCTTTGAACGATGGATATTGAGCATTTATTCTATCCACCATATCGTTCGTCCAATTACTCTTTTTTGACTGTTCCAGATCGACGAACAGCAAGATATCGCTCTTACCTTCCGTTTTCAACAAATCTTTTGGTGTAATAAATGATTTCAACAGTGGCGGCGGTATGTGATTGAATATCTTATAAAGGTTTAAGGATAAAATAATAACTTCGAAATACTTGTCAATCCCCAACACTTACTTTAGATGGGATGCAAACTGTTATAGATATCCGGGATCCAGCGAAGATACTTGCAATAAGCTCTTTAACCATCGTCCAATCTAGACCGTCCAATCCGCAACCGATTTTTGGAATCCCCAACTTGGTTAAATTCATCTCTTTCATTTTTACCAATAGAGACCTTAGGGCTACTGATAACATTTGCATTGTTGGTTTTCCGCCACTAGATTTTTTCGTTATCATGTAAAAAGCAATCTCATTACGGTCGTTAACAATCACACCAACATCGCCTATAGTCAGATTTTGATCAAACAATTGTCCAATACCACCAAAATGTTGTCTAGAAAGCAATCAAAATAAGTACTAATTTTGATCAAGAGCATATGCATGATATTTATACTTGAATTCCAATGCGATTCCAGCTCTCATCCGCAAGTCTTCGGCGACACAATGGGCGACAGGAATGTCTCCGGGCAGGTTGAAAAGATTTTCATCGATTTCTTTCAAATAACTTGAAAATATTTAAAAATAATTTTTAATTTATTGAAAATAATTTTATTGATAATATTATTGTACGTATGAAACATCGTGTACTCTCCGGGGAAGCAACGAACCCAGGCGGTGAGAGTAAACCGATTTGAAGAATAACATTAAGCACATTCACTTTAACTTTTATAGTCTAAATGAATTACATTTTCCAATAGTGTACAGATAATTGCAATCATCAAAAATATTTCTTAAATTATAATATAGTACTTAGTCTGAAATGTAATCTATTATTTCAGTTTTATTTCACTAAAACTATAAATAAGTGATTAACAATAATAATCATACATACCAAATTCTATCTTCTAAAGTAGGTTCATTTTTGCTTGTATCAACTTTCGATTTAATTGCTTTGCACACGTTTGCATAACTTATGAGTTTTTTATTGTTATCGCTAATCTTATGCTCATTGGGTACATTTTCATTCGAAAATTGGCTCCTATTATATTTCGAAATTGTATTACGACTTGTTGTACGTTTAATTAACAACATTATTTATATTTTCATAAATATTTTTAACGCCAAGTATAAATATCTCATAAGTATTTTATACATTTACAACATAGCTAACTAATTCAAAATAGTAAGATTTGATTTCTAAAATCCTAATTATTTTGTAAATATGTAAACTGAAGAACATAACTATTAAACTTATTATAAAATGATAAGGAAAAAATCTAATATCTTATGACTGTATTAAATTATTTTCTTTTTTCTTATACCTAAACAAATTAAATTATAATTAATAAAGATAAAATTATATAAACAATGGATACATATATCATAGTAATTACGTATTTTAGGGGATAATAAAACCAATAAGTATTTACGAAAAACAAATTATAAATTATTAAAATTAAATTTCCACTGACCGTGATGGCATTGTATATAATTATGTTATATTATTATATTTAAATATGAATTTTAATTGATTGTCAAAATAATTACTAAATACGTACCCATTTTCAGGTATCTCGGTGCAAGTTTCTTGTTTTACATTTGTTGTTTTTTTAACTGCATTTTCAGTTTTTATAATTTCCGATGGTATTTTAACTTGGCTTCCAGTCTGAGTTCTAAACAATAAAAATGTTTAAAGTTATTATATTTTAAAAATTATTGAAAGCATCTTAATTTTTTTCTAGTAGTGTATTTTATTTTATTTATAATTATTGCTTTCGACGAGGATTAGATAAAAATTTAAAAGCCATTGTTTAATTAATCCATAAATTAAAATAAAATAGTACATGACTCATGAATTAATTTAATTATTTTAAAATACTTCTGAATAAGTTGCGTTGGCTTTGCGGATGCTTTAGGTACATCATGGTCTTCTTTTTTTCTACCTAACATTGATTGATCTTGTTTGTTTAACAAAATATTATTATTCATCTTCTTTTTTTCTTTCAGTCCAGACTCACTTATTTTATTAACGTTAGCTCTAAGTAATAATAAAAAAATTATTAAGTATAAAACAATTTATACAAAATTAAATTATTTAATAAATGGAAAGAAGCAAGGAATTTCTTACATTTATTTATAAAAAAAATCTAACATATTTATTATTTTTAATTAGATAAAATAATATTAATATAAAATATTAATGAATTACAAATATTATTAGTACTTTATTAAAATAATCCTAAAATTGAACTTATAAATTAGTCTAGTTAGCTCACTAATTTTTTAACCAAGTGTTTTTAAAAATGTCAAAAACATTAAAAATAAAGTTATGTTTATTGTAACGACTAACGACAAAAGCATATATTGATGTCAATTATAAAGTTAATATCATTAAATTCAATTTTTAAAATTCGCTTAATTCATATTTAAAATTGAATTAAATGTATATTTTAGATTATAATTTCAGAGAAATGTATTATTAACTATATATGTTTATATGATACATATATATCTACATATGATATGTTTCTATTTAAATTATAATTTCTCTGTACCCATCTTTAAGTAATATTTTGCCTTCGATTTTAACTTGAGTTGAGTTATTCTTCAAAGGTTCATTCTTCTTTTTTTCACAAATTCTAGGCATTACTTCATTTCTATTTACATTTAATGAATTTTTAAGATATTTAAAATTTAATATATTGAAAATATTTAAAATTAATATTCTAGTGATAATTTTTACTCTTTCGATCAAGTGTAGTATTTCACCTATTAGTTTTTCTAGTATTTAAGAATATTGAACTTAATTTAAAATTAAGTATCTTAAGGTTATATCAAAAAAAAAAAATATTAATGATACTTCTAGAGTAAAGAATTAATTAATACTTATACATTTTTTGTTGAGTTTCGTTCTTCACTCTTATAAAAGAAAATATTTCTAAGTTTAAATTTACTGAATTGAAAAATGATAGTATGTACATTATGATTATTTTTTTTTTATTTATTTATTTGTTATAAGTATTTATTATAAGTATGGTTTGAAACTGTGATAAGATCATATAGATTTGGTACAATAAATTTATAATAAACATAAATAAGTAGACTAAATTATTACTATTGGGGCAGACTAGTGATCTAAATAATGATGTCTTAGATTTGGCAGATTATCGAAAAAAATCAAAATTTGATATATTTCCTAATGTTAGGAGTCTGTTAAGAGTATTAAGAGTGATTATGTAAACATCATAAAATATTTATTGGCTAAAGTCGAATTTTATGGTTTAAATACTTTAAATTTACTTTAACTTTTCAAGTTTTGAATAATTATAAAATTAATTATGTAAAATCATACATTATTAAAATTTTCTAAGTACAAATAAAAATGGTGTACTGCAATAAACTAATAAGCTAATCAACAACTAAACAACTATTTACTTTTTTGTTTGTTTGCCTTTATTCATTTTGTTCGTTGATGTATTCATTCTTGAAGATTCAAAAATTGGTCTATCTGAATCTAAAAAAAAAAAAAAATGATTACGCTATAACGCTGTTGTTTTTTTCCCGTTTCCTCCAAGTTAATTTCATATCAATGTAATAAATTTAATTAATCTCCGGTGGATTTACTTTCAAAGGCATAAGTTAAAAATGTACTTAAATATCAGTATTTATATCATATAATATTGATTACACTGCAAGTGACTGCGTATACATATTTGTACTTATACATGTAGGTAATGAATAATCGATAAAAAAGATTATGCAAATAAATAATATAACTCGATGTAACGTAAAGATGTATTGCGCGTGAGCGATTAGCTAACCGAAAAAATCAAAAGAAACATTTTTGACACATCAATCTTACAATACGATAAAACGGTACATATGTAAGGTACAAAACGAGATAACGAAATAATTTTGAATGGATTTACAATATTTTAGGAGAACATTACACTATAACCATGTCCACGGTGTACCTAGTAAAAAAGCCGTAAACTGCAATTGTGTTCAATATCGCTCGTTCAATAACACGTGCACGTGTTTTGTCGTATACAATTTCCACGACATCCATCCCCCCTCTTAAGTATATCTACTTCGTACAGTGACGGATAAAGGCCCTGGAGGTCTGGGTCGGTAACGTACTTCCGAACGCTAACTTAAGTGCCTTAAACTAGTGCTAAAACATTAGTGTCCGAATCCGATTAGACTCTGTAGTGCGCTAACTTTCCCTAACTTATTTAGAGCGATTTATCTGACGCAGTTTAATTTTTTGCTCAGACGAATAACAAAAATAGAGGTCGACAAATCGGAGAACAACCAACGTCACTTTCTAGAAATAAAAAAGTAGAACTGATTTTAGGTTCAAAGAGAGTACAAGCAAGCAAACGTACTGAAAATTTTACATCAAAACGAAAAAAATAAAAATAAACCACAAGCCATATTGACGATAATAAATAAAATATACATAATCGCATTGACGTACTAACGTAAAAAAAAGTACATAAATATATTTGCCGCACGAATAATTAAAATTGTGTGCCCTAAAAATCAGTTAGGGAACGTGGTGAATACGCGCACTACAGAGTCTAACCGGATTCGGGCACTAGCTCGGTTAAGGTTCGGAAATACGCGGGCCGATACGAGTTTTACGAACGAACGACCGACTCGTGTTACGGACAACGAACATAGCTCGAACGTTAAAATTTCCGGAGGGTCTGGGCGGGTGTGCCGGGCGCACGACAACAGAGACCATGGGACGATCTCGGTCCGCTAACGACCATGTGTCGCCGATTCGACAGGACAGTACTCGATCCGATCACTGGACGTGTGCGCGAATCGACTAAATACGTACGGTGTCCAATGCGTGACCGGTTGCGGCTGCTCGACTCTGAATCGAGTCAGTATTCAGGCTCAGCAGTACATCGACATCCGTTGAAGGGCGCCGCGCAGACGTGGATACAATGAGCAAAGGGGTTATGGGGACTGAATTCCCTCCTTAGACATTAGGTAGAGACATGTCGGACGTAAAATACTTAAAATATTTAAAAAATTAGACGTAAGAAAGAAAATTTTGTACAAATCGACATGCACAACAAATTATGGCAGTAACTCTCTTAACCAGTACCCTCAAAACGTTGTACACGGAAACATAATATAAACTGAGGAGTTTGTTTTTTGTCCTTGTTCGGTGTTCGAAATTAAGAAAAGCCTAAGTGTGTGCCCATAATCGGTATTCGAACTAAAACCTTACAGTATTCAGATATTCTCAGTAGCTAATCTCAAATCCATTTTGTTTTTTTACCTTTAGTTTTAAGAAACAATGTCATATGGCAGTAGCTGCTAAAGCTAAATGTACGGTGCACGAAACAGGAGTCTCAATATGTGGAATCGCTGAAACTAGAAGAGCGTTTGTAGGAAAACTGAAGAAAAATAAAGTAGAGTGTAAGGCCAATTTCGATTTTTGAACAAAACGGTCGGTGCTGTTCGAACACCGTACAACGATGCAAAATGTACTGAGTGTGTCGTCCATCGGCGTACGAACAAAAAATGTTCAAATTACACCGTACACCGGGCCGGACTGAGTCAGACATTTCTACCGGGAAAATAAAAAAAAAAAGAAACGGTCCACTTTGATGTACCAAAGTCTAATAACAACCCTAAAAAAAAATAAAACCGTAATTTTCATATAAAATTATTGTACATTATTTTGATAATTTGAATACCGTTAAAAGATCGTTTTTTAATTTTAGACAGTTTCTAATGCAATCGCATTAGAAAATGCGTTTATGTCTGTCGACACAATGAGCATAAACCGATAAACCTAAAAAAATTTGAAAAAAAACTTCCCTGTGAGTGAAAGCCTCTCGGTATGCCGACTGCCCGATCCAGCCCTGACCGTGCACGGACACAAATCCGTAGTGCGTGAGACGATGCGCGTTAAAGCGACTGCCTGTATGCGTGTCCTCGTGACAGATGTACTTACGCGATACGACGACGACGCTGTTTCTCCGCGCAAAGGTTTTCACAAGGTTTTTACAACAACAGTGGTCACTGCAATTGAACACGTTCGAATTTAATACACTTCCGGTTTCGCGTTGTTCCAGAACCCGCTGACAAGTCGAAATGCGTTTTCCAAATCGATCGTTTCGATTAGAAACAATACGTATCCACGGTACTGTGCAACGCGACGTGTCTGTTTTAAAACGTTTTTTAGCCAGCACGAAGCGACGAGATTAAAAAAACCATTTATTTTTCTCACGGATTGTACCGATCGCAACCTCCGCTGCGACTGGTTCGGCTCTTGTTCTTGGTCGATTAATCCTTGCGAAATACAACAGTCGCAAGCATAGGCACAACTAAGGGGGCGTAATAGGGTTTTGAACAACCCCCATGTTCAAATGTAGTACTCCTGTTTTTTTTTTCAGTTCTATATAATCTATAGGTAGTAATTACAGTTAAATACCGTTTAATTTAATTTTTAGCGATTTCAGCACAACCAATATTGGGCTCTAGTTGCGCCCATGCCCATGATTTATCGGATTGAGATGATCGTCGGTGGTGACGTGAGAATACAATTTATATTTTAAATGGTTGACAAAAAACACCGACGCGACGTTTGAGGGAAAAAAAAAGTCTAAAGGCCGTATAGTAATAACATATCTTCTGCCGTCGATTACGATAAAACTCTATTCATAGTGGTATATATGCCAGTACAAGTCTCCGATATCGTGACTGCAGAGACCTTGGCGTTGGAAATTCATTAGAATTCGACTGAAAAGGAGACAAAGGCAGTCGCAATTACATGGGCGGAATTCGGCACCAAAGTTATTATCATTTTATGCTAGATAGACAGATAGCGATGGAGAGGGAATGAGAGAGAGAGAAGTAGGAAAGGAGAACGAAAAACGGAATAGAAAAAATTAGAATGAGCGAAAAAAAGACAAATAGTATACGTACCTATATATATGTAGGTACAGGTCGGAAAGTAGAAAGGGGAAAAAAACCAAGTTTCATTATTTTATTGTTATTGATGTTAAGAGGGTTAATTTTTTTTTTTTTTAAATGTTTCAAACACACGCAACTGCTGTTCCAAAGGCTAAGAACGAAAATATCTCGATTTCCTCGGCACACCGCGCTCCGTATCAGCACCTAGACGTCGCGCGAACAAGAAAAATATTCAAATTTTTATTGATTTTCGCGTTGTACACACATAATGATAACAATAGTGTTAACTATTGTTATCATTATTGTTGTACCGTTGCGTACAATACGTTGACCGTTGCATTGCAGTCGGACAAGTGCACTCGAACGCACTCCGTATGTATACATTAAAAGCGCACGTGCAAGTGAACGACGCAAATACGTTAAATAGGTACACGTTCATATACATTTAAACGCGACTCGCGTATTATTATTATTATTATTATTATTATTATACCGATCCGGTAGAGACGTTTTCATAAATCTACGATTCAACGAACTTTGCGCTGTCGTCGTCGTCGTCGTCGTCGTCGTCTACGTGGTTTTTTTCTTTCTAGTTTCCCTTCACCCCTGCCCACCCGCTGCAATTCTTTTTCTTTCGTTTTTACGACGGTTTTATTCGACGGCGACCCATCCGTGCAGACGGTGTAATGCGTCATTCGCCGTGCAACTACGCGAATACGTCGTTTCGCTGCGCGTACGCAACGCAGCTGCACGCGCGTTTAACATCCGCAAACGTATAAATATTGTACGACGACTGATCGCGTAATATTTATTATTCATCGTCCGCGCAGTTCCGCGATTTCCACAAACGACTCTTATCCCGCACGAGCCCCGTCCAACGCGGATTTATTTCCGCGGGCCCGGCTCAAAGGGGAGGCGACAATTATTAATACGATAATTATTAATATAATTTTAATATGAATATTGAATAAATCAAAAAAAACAAGTTTGGGGTGTAGGCCACTTCACCTCCTCGTGGTGCACTTTGGGTAACTCTAAATGAGCTGGGACGCATTCGAGCTATGTCAAAAAAAAAAAAAATAATTTCTCGAGACGCACTCGGGCAATACCTTGTTGTGGACATGCTTACAATATTAAAAAAAAGTACTTTTTAGGACGCACTCGGGATATCCCCGGGTCTAATGCGCTATGGAAATTTTTAAATAAGTTTGTTTACAGTCGAGTGGAATAATATTATTTATTTTTATTATTGAACATAAAAACATCGACTATTAAGCCATTAGTTATTAAACTACATTTTTTATTTTTTTTAAAGATTAACATTTTAATTAGAACTTAAATTTAGTTATTTGAAATTTATTATGTTAACATTTGATTAGAAATGAGGGTTGTAGAACTTCACTTAATCGATGTGGTATATGGTATTTGGCTCTTGAATCCGCGTACTTGAAACAGTCAGTGATTAAGTGTTTAACAAAGAAATAGAGAATATTATTATTGTTGAAATGCGGTAGTATAATACATTTCGGGCCAGTGGCGTAGATACAATTTTTCTGGGGGGGGGGATGTTTAAGAGTAAGTTTTTAAGTGTTCTTAGTATCTTAAAACGAGGTAATATGTAATAATATTATATTTAAAATGGTATTATTATTATGTCCCGTATTTAATGAAAATTATTTTGTTATTCAATTTTTAATATATACCTAATCATAAGAAAATCAAAATATTTTAGTCTAATATATAAATATTAATAAATAATAATCAAATATCATTAAAAAAAAAATCTGGGGGGAAAACCCTTACACCCTCCCCGTAACTACGCCACTGTTTCGGGCCCGTAAAAGAGAAATTGCTGTTCACAGTAACATAACTTACAACGTCTTTCCCGAAAGGTATACACACACACATGTATACATATATTTATATATAATACCTTTAGGACATAACTGGTATATACTAATCATTAATCTTTGATTATAAAATTCCGATATATATATATATGTATATTTAAGTATATGTTGCTTCTTTTTTTTTCTCGCAGAACACATATCCATTCGAAATTACTAATACATTTACCGTCTTAAAGAATAAAAAAATGAATACGATATAATGAACTTTTTTATCGAATTCGATCAGACCGTATTGCATTTTTTACAAATTTATATTATATTCTCAACGCATCGATGAAGCTGCATGGTATGTACAGGTATCGGTTTTACCGTAATAATTTGCGGGTATAGAAATTAGCACCAGTTAACGTAACAAGTTAAAATTGGTCAAGGATTGAACTTTTAAAGATATCGTTTTACTCGACATTTCCAAAAATTCTCAAACTTCACGAGAAAATCGGTGGGGGATGACAAGAGAAAAGTAATTAAAACCCGAACGCACTCGTTAAAAACAAAATCTCGTCTATTTTTGAATCAACTATAAAGTTGATTTTTTTTATTTAACGCGACTACAGACACATAATATGTGTCGTACACATTGGTGAATAATATGAACCGACCTGACGGTTGTTTCGTTTTATTTTATTACATATATGGAAAACGACTCGTAAATGAAGATATTTGTACGCGTCGAAACGCTATAATTTAAATTAAATTAAATTACTACGCGTATGAATGCTTAGAATTAACTTTCATCGGATAAAACGTGTTATTTAACAGCACGTACTAAAAACCGTTGCATATTAATGATCTTTACAATTACATTTTTATGTACTACGCATTGAGTTGTATATTATTCATTTCGCAAGAATTTATAAATTGGTTGTATTTAATTCACATATGCCCATCAATATAATTATTGAAAATTATAATAATCAGAACTTGTGTTGGTACGTAAATACATAGTGACGAAATAGTTTTATAAAGGTTAACCATCGGGTAAAATAAATATAAAATATAATTAAACCAGCTCAATTCTCACATTATAGTTTATTATTATTTTAAAAAAACTAATTACCAAATTCAACCAAATTCAATGTTCACATTCTAAGGCATAACTATTTCATATATAAACCCAACCTCACTAACAAGTCGTTACAGTCATTTAAAATAATAAACGAGTATGACTTATCGGTTGTCAACTACTCTGATCATTATCACCGTGATCCCGTCGAGATCATATTATTATTAGTTAACGAATTCCATAGTCGATTATCGAATTTTATACTTATTGAATTGCTTTTAAAACTGTTTTAAAACCATAAAAGTCGTGTAAGAATTATCTCGCAACGAGTTTTTGCTCAAAAAGTAACGCGATTTTTTATGAAATCTACTGAAATGTTTCAACGTAGTAATAATAAATAATAACTATAGGAAACTATTAAGTATAGGAATCCGCAGCTGTATCCAAAACATCGACGATTAATAGTCTCTTCGGAGTAGGTACCTACGTGGAAATATAATAGTAATAATTTTCATTAAAGCGAACATTTTAATGACTGAATAAAATAAGGCAAGTCTATCTCCAACACAAAGCCTTTTATAGTAGACGAACTTAATGGCTTTCGAAAATGGAAAAACAAATTTAAACAAAAATATTGACGTAAAACGGCCATAAAACAATAATTACTACCCTACAGTTGCATAGTTCAATTTAATTATAAAATATAAATACTCAGTATTTTTTAGACTATTGGTTATTAACTTGTTTTTTTTTTTCGTTTCAAATATCTTAACGTTTACGAAAACCTGTTCTGTTATTAAGTAGGTACTTAAAGAGTTGCATTTATAATATTTTTTAATTATATTCTTAATTTTATGAAAAACAGTCTGAGCGTACACATTTACGACCGAAATAAATATTTAGCGAGACCTTCGTAAATAATTAAAATAATGTACATGATTACTTTCAACGTAAAATCGTTTCGCCTATCGAAGCGGCTAATCCCCGAATTCAGTCTTACGTCGGACGACAAACAAGAATAACCAAAATGAGTAATTGAAAAAAAAAGCAAGAAAATCAAAAGCAAAAAAACTCTGCAGCATAATGTCGCAGATCTGAAAACAATCAACTGTTTCTACTATTTTTTCAACTGTTTCATTTCAATAATTATGTCGGTAAATATGTTTATGTACACATCATCTCTTAATGGAGGGAGGGGAAGTCTTATGAGATACCTTATCAGCGTACTTATAACAAATCCATTTACGTGTGCAGTATACCACGTCGAAGTTAAATCGTGATTTCACGAAGTATATTCGCACCGCCGAACGCCGTGGCATGTGTGCTGTTGGGCTCACCAGTTGC